TATACATAACTTTAGATTACCATCCTTCTTCTTAATGAAGAGTATTGGAGCACCTTAGGGAGATACGTTAGGTCTAATGTATCTCTTTCCTAACAGCTCCTCTATCCATTTCTTTAACTCATCATTTCGTTTAGAGTCATTCAGTAAGGTGCTTTCGATATAATCTTTGTAGACCTTACTCAATCCTTTTGTCAACTTCAGACTATCTTTACCCACCTTAACTTTATCTTCCATCTTGCTAGACTTAGTGCACTCTTGCCAAAAATGGCTAACATTTCTGGCCTTTGCACTCTCTTACATTACTTCCTAGGGTTACCCATTACTGGGCTACTTTTGTTCAAGCATGCCTAACTGAATAGTGTTGACAGGAATCTGAGGCACTAATACTGATAGGCCCTTCTTTTTCTTTCTTTAGTTGAGTCTTTCCAACTTATATTCTTGACTCTAGCCTCATCTTAGGGATCTTCTTGTCAATACTTAGTCTGTCACTGTATTACAAAGGGTTCTTCTCGTATCTGGAGCTAGCCTGAATACCTCTTATTCAAGTCTTATGGCTCTATTTCTATAACTTTGGCTTTTCTCTATTAATTAGAAGAAAATTGAGCTCATCCTAATAAATGATAAGGTTATCTAGAAGGAAGTCATGGGTACTCTCTCTGTACTGGTCCACCACTGAAGGAGGTTTCTGTATCTTAAACTCATCCCTGGTTTCCGTCTTCCCAAAAAGGTACTGTACTCTTACTCTTATGGCTCAACCACTTTTCTTTAGGCTCGGTGAAAGAGAGCCTTTTTTATCGTTCGCTTAGACGTTCTCGCTCAAAAATTTATCCAAGCTATGCAGTAATGCTAACTCGGGTCGTTCTCTTTTGGGAGCCTTAGTTAGATATCTAGGTTAGACTAATGCTATGCAGAGTAAGGAAAAAGGAGGTTTTGGGTTTTTAACAATTAATGAGATGCCAAAACTAAATGCAATTAATTGTAATCTAAGTTACTATGTTTTTGGATTTTTTTCTAAGATAGTGGTAATATAGTGGAAGTTAATGATATGTAATCTCTTGAACATGGCTTTGAAGCAATCATAGTTCAAAATAATTTTGGGAGTAAAAATATCAAGTTTTCTAAATGGAAAACCTTAAAGAACTCTTTAAGTCTAGGATCTTAATCAATGGCACCCATCTCATAAGATCCTATTAAGCTCACTTAGTGTGTGTATTAAGATTAATTAATGCACTTGGTTTAATGCAAGCCTAGATTAACTCAACAATCAAACAATACCATGCAAGAAGGAGAGTATCAAAAGAGTTGCATATAAACATACATGTAACCACATGTATTGAAGCTCAAAATCAACACTAACTAATCTAATACACAAGATAATCATCCAGAATTGATTACAACCATAATCAAAATAGTTCAGCCCAAATTTACAAATCCTAAGACCTAGAAGTTCATAAATAAAGAACTAGAACTTATGGATGAGGCTAACTCCCCTTTGAAGCTCCTTGAACTCATGCTTCTTCCACCATATTCAAGAGTTGAGAAGCTTAGCTCGTCATAACTCTTGAATCAACTCCAACTAGGTATTGTTCTTCAGCCATGGCAGCAGCAGATGGAAGAAATGGAAATGGGATTAGGGTTTCTGAGGTGGAGATGAGAGAAGAGGATGAAAGAGACATAGATGGAGGCTGAATAGTGATAATCTGATCTCATCATACCCAAAATAGGGTTTCTAACCCGAAACTTACGTGCATGGGTCGGTTCTTGGGGTTGGGTAGGTCAAAATTTCTCGAAATGGTCGGGTCTGAGATTTGCTGATTCGAGAGGTTCGCCGTGGCGAAGAATAGGTTTACCGCGGCGAAACATGGCAGAGAGCCTTGCTTGAACAGATGAGTTTCACCGCGGCGAATGAAGACGTTTGCTGCGGCGAACTTAGGCAGAGGGTCCTTTCCTGCTTCTTTTGCCTTGAGTTCTCCAATTCTGGCCCCAATCTTTAGTGTCCTACAATAAGAAAGCAACAAATTGAAGTATCAATTGTCCTAGAAATCAATTGAATCCAATTAACAACCAATTATGACAATTTAATCCTCAAAATGACACTAACTTAAAGTAAGGACTCTAAATCTAAATTAAGCACAATTATCATTAAAAAGGGCCAGAAAGTATCACAAAATCATGGATAAAGTAATGAAAAGATAATAATATCTTGAGCTCAATCAAATTCCCCCACACTTAGACCTTTGTACTCCTGGACAAAGGCAATACAAAACCTAAGCAAGAGAATAGTATTGATACAAATGGGAACTCCTATGAATTCAAAGTAAGAAAGCAGTAGTGCCATTAACTCAACTCTTCAAACAAGCAATCATAGCGATTTAGGTCAATGAGAAGGGATTAAAGTAGAGTACAGTCAATGCAATAGGAATGAACAAAAGAGAAAACACTCTAGATACAAACTGTTTCACTCTACTCACCAAGTTGGGGTAATTCTCTCTCAAATCCACTTAATCAACCACTTTACCTTAAGCTTGTTACAATCCTAGTTCTCCACTTCTAATGCATGAATGTAATGATCAAGAGGACTTTTAAGGTTATGATAATGGGAAGGGTTAAATGAAATAGAAGAGGTGAAAAGATATGAAATGATTAAGCACCAAGCATTTTAGAAAAGGTTTCCAACTAACATTTACTCTAATCTCTTAAAGCACAACTTTGTTCTTCAAACCACCAATGAATTGCCTTATTTCAACATTTTATTCTATTGGTACCATTTTATTTTGATCTTTCTTTCTTTGACTTTTCTCAAGCATTTTCTTCTATTTCTTTGCCTTTTTCTATTTCTCTTTTTTTTTTTTGGCAATTCAAAACCCAAGAAGACAAAGTTTAACACATCATGAATGTAATGGTAAAAATGTTGGAAACTTGAATGTATAATGCATCTCTTGGCACTTAAGAAAAGATGAAGGCTCAAATGGTTAGCAATGGATAAAATCATGTGGGTTTGTGTTTGGAATGTAAGGGTTTAGAAAAGAATGCCTCTATCATGCTCATCACATTAATGCAACTAAGTCTCGATTAAGAATTGGAACAAGTTCTAGAAAGTAGAAAATGTAAGTGGATGCAACTCACCATGAATGAAAATTAGGCTCAAAGAATCTTCCAACAAGGCTAAATCTCAAATGCTCATGCACAAAGATTAATTGTACTCCAGATTAGTCACAATGCATTAACTCAATCAATATAAAAGCAAGCTTGAAGAATTGTGACCAATAAAACTAAAACAATCAACTTTAAACAAATAGCAATTCTCATGAGTATCCATACCAGTTCATATACGTGTACCAAAGTCCAAGAATACACAAATTCAAGTGTAAGTTACTTGAAGCAAAAATTTTCAAAAATTTTAACTCAAAAATCTTCAAATTATGTTCAAAAATCAATCAAAATTTTGAAAATTTTTAGAAAACCAGATTTTTCATTAAGCACAGAAAAACACAACACAATTATTGAATATCAATCCATTGGTTCCCTCCCCCACACTTGAACAAAGCATTGTCCTCAATGCTTGACCAAGTAGACAATTAAGCACAAAGGAAGAAAGGAAGAAGACAAGAACATAAAGGGGAAAATTATTAAAATAAAAAAACTACAAGCTAAAACTAGACTACTTTTTCCTACTGGTAAGCTCCTTCCCTCACACTTATCTCCCTAACTCATGCAACAATCCAATCAATCAAAACAAAGCAAAACATGGTAAACAAGATAGGTAAAGGAAAGAAGCGACCTGAGGTGTCATGGAGGCTGATAGCTCTCCTTAAAGAACCGAAGGCGCTCCTTTTTTACTTGGAAGAACCGGCCTTCAGCATCCTTTATCACAACCTTCCTACGCCGGCATGTTGACTGAACTTCAAAAGGTCCAATCTATTTGGCCCTTCTCTCAGCCCTTGGAGTCTGATAAGTGGACAGTAGACCCCATACCTCAGTACCAGCTTTAATCTTCACAGCCTCCTCAGGGGTTGATAGAAAAGGGTCTTCATAGACTAGATCAATGACCTTGTAGTGGTCAATGGAGAGAGGAGGGAACGTGGCAGAAGGTTTCTTAATTTTCTTCTTCTCCTTAAAATAGAGCTTGAGAGATGTAGGCTCTTTGCTCTTTTCCTCAGAATCCACTTTCTTTCTATCAATAGGAGCAGCCACCATCTCCTGATAGGTTGGCTCAGTTGAGGGTGTAGAGATGGTAGGGTGGATAATAATTGGAACTGTAACAGGTCCATGCACAGCATTCAGGGCACACAGCTCCCTAAAAAGGTTGAAATATTTCTTTTCCTTGGAAGTCTTTTCAGCTCTACTAACACCTGTAACATCATCAAAAACAAAGCCTTTCTCGAGCTCATGAGGGTTAGTAGAAGACTTCACAAATGCAACATCAGTAATAACATAATCATATGGACTGGAAAGGGTGTAATCTAACTGATGAACAGCAGAATAGTCCACGTCACTACCATTTAAAAGGGAAAGGGAAGCAGAATCAAAAATAGGGGATGAAACATGCATCTCATTAACACTATCAAGCTTATCTATGAACAACCCATCAATAACATTAACATCACACATAGAATAGTCTTCATGCGGTTGTTTCATTTGTTCATACATATTAAAGTATGCAAATTTATCCCCAACAGACATAGTGATAGAACCCTTTTGCATGTCAATATTGGTATTAGAAGTTTGAAGAAAGGGTCTACCCAAAATCAGAGTTCCATCCCCACCTTGCTCATTAGGCATATCCAAAACATAGAAGTCAGCAGGGATAACTAAATCTTTCACCTTCACAAGAATATCCTCTAAGAAACCGTGTGGATACCTCACAGTCCTATCAGCTAACTGAAGCATCATCGTGGTAGGTTTGAGGCTTTTGATTTGTAAAGACTCATACATTGATTTAGGCATAACATTAATTGCAGCACCTAGATCAAGTAAAGCTTTAGGAATGGTTGTCCTACCCACAGTACAATGTATAGTAAAGGAACCGGGATCTTGACACTTAATTGGGAGTTGTGGTTTAAACAAGGCAGACACACTTGAGGGTAATTGAACTCTTTCATTAGGTTTAAACTTCCTCTTATTTGTGCACAACTCTTTCAAAAATTTAGCATACTTAGGGATCTTCTTAATCAGTTCAAGCAAGGGTATATTAACTTCAACTTTTCTAAATGTCTCAAGCAACTCATTATCTTGTTTTTCATTAGCAATTTTCATGCTCTTTAAGTAAGAGTGAGGAAAAGGGAGTTCATTGAGATTTACCTCCTTACCCTCATTGCTTAAGGTTCCATGAGTGCTTTTCTCTGGTTGCTTCTTGCTCTCCTTGCTTTCGTGCTCTTTAGTGGACTCCTTTTTAAGTAGCTTCATTTCTTTAGAGCTTTCAGACCTCTTGGGTGGATTTTCAACCTCAATCTCTTCATCTACCTCTTCATCATCACTTAAGTCTTGAATAGGTCCAACTTTCTTTCCACTTCGTAGACATATGGCATTCACAGACTTAGGATTAATGACAGTGTTGGAAGGCATAGTTCCTAAATTCTTAGCTTGTTGGTCACTTATATTATTAGATAATTGAGTGACATAAGAACTGAGGTTGTTGGTCCTAGTTTTCGTTTGCTCCATCTTACTTTCAATAGAGGCAAATCTTGCTTCAGATCTAACTTCATTCTTTGAGATATTATCATTCATCACTTGAATGCCTTTGAGAATTTGACCAAGCTTATCATCATCTCTAGAATATTGCTCTTGAGGAACCATGGCTCTAGAAGTACTCCCCTTGAAGTTATTATTGTTGTCCCCATTGCTCCATCTGAAATTTGGATTAGCCTTCCATCCTTCATTGTAGGTGTTAGAGTAGGGATTCCATTTTAGATCATGGTTTGGTCTCCCTTGAAAGACAGCAGATACCTCTTCAGGAGTGTTAGGGCATAAGCTGCTGAGATGCATAATAGATCCACAAGTGTCACAGCTTGGAGCAACTAAAGCTTTAGAAGTGGAAGAAGTCCTTTGAACACTCAAATTCTTCAATTCAACAGTGACTAAAGAGAGGTGAGATGTGATCTTGGATTCGAGAGAATCCACCTTGGTTTCCAAAGAATTTATTCTCTTAGCATGTGCAGTTGAGAGTCCTAGTTCTTGCACAGCTCTTGCATCTCTAGGCCCATATTGTTGGTGATTCAAGGCCATCTTTTTAATCAAGTCCCATGCCTCTTGAGTAGTTGAGTCAATTAAAGATCCTCCTGATGCAGCATCTAGCATACCCTTCTCTTGATTTCTTAATCCATCATAAAAATACTGTACCAGTTGTTCCTCTGGTATCTGATGGTGCAGGCATCTTGAAAGAAGATCTTGAAATCTATTCCAATAGTCATACAGTGACTCATCATAGTCTTGTTTGGATGAATAGATCTCTTTCCTCATTGATGAAGTACAAGAAGCCGGAAAGTATTTCTCTAAAAATGCTTTCCTTAAGTTCCCCCAACTGTGATAAGCATCTGCCACATGTCTTAGAAGACTCATATACCATTCTCTAGCTTTTCCTTCCAACGATAAATGAAAGACCTTCCATAAGACTTGGTCTAGTGATGCTCCCACAGGCTTCATGCTCTGGCAAATCATTGACAAAGATTGCAAGTGAAGGTAGGGATCTTCTCCTGTCAAACCATGAAATTTAGGAAGTGAGTTAATGAGCAAACCTTTAATCTCAAAATTCATATCAAAATTAGGGCAAGCAGCAGTAAAAGGATCATAATTCACATCAGATGTTATGGCTTCTCTTATGGTTCTTCTCCTTTGATTGTCATTATTCTCTCCAACTCTCTCATGCTCTCCATTTCCTCCATTACCACCATTTCTAAGTTGGTTACCATTGGGGTTAGGGTTAGGTGGATTAGGTGGGATGTCAGCCATTATCTCTTGGTTAGTAGGTTCACTCTCACTACTGGATAGGCTAGATTCCACAGAAATATTCTCTTGCTCAATCACCAACTCACTTGTCCCTCCTACTCTTTTCTCTCTTCTTATCTCTGTGAGTCTTCTCTCAATCTCAGGGTTATAGGGCACAAGCTTGGTTTTTCGTGGCATGCAAAATAAATTTCACAAGAGAAAAAGTAACAAAATTGACTTGCAGCACACAAAGTCAAATAAAAGTATGCAATGTGATGAATGCAAGTGTATGGGTGAGTATGAAAGTGTAATGATGAGTATGAGTATGTATGGGTGGGTATGAGTATGTATGCACAGATAAAGAAGCAAAGTGTAAGTTTTAGAACTTCCAGAAATGTTGGCCGCGGCGAATGTTGGCAGAGGAGACCAGATATCTGATTGCGGAGGGTTAGCCGCAGCGAAAGAAGGAGTGCGCCGCGGCGAAAGTGTCCCAAGAGTAATTCTTCGGTTTTTTTTTGGAAAGTTCACCGCGGCGAAAAAGGGGTTGGCCGAGGCGAAAGTTGACAGAGAAGAATCCTACGGTGTTGGGAAAAGTTGGTCGCGACGAAGGTTGACAGAACTCTTATCAGATACTAGACTCCACTGATGCAATGTATGAAATGCAGAAAATCAAGACAAAACAGTATTTGTTTGTATTTCCAAAAAATTTTGATGCTATGCAAGATGAAAACCTATACTATGAACAAATATGCAACTAAACTACCTAAATGCCACCCAAAAAGATCAAAACCTCAAAAGTCAATCAAATAGCACAAGCTAACCTAGAGAACCAATTTCTTGGCTCCCCGGCAACGGCGCCACTTGAAAGAGAGCCTTTTTTATCGTTCGCTTAGAGGTTCTCGCTCAAAAATTTATCCAAGCTATGCAGTAATGCTAACTCGGGTCGTTCTCTTTTGGGAGCCTTAGTTAGATATCTAGGTTAGACTAATGCTATGCAGAGTAAGGAAAAAGGGGGTTTTTGGGTTTTTAACAATTAATGAGATGCCAAAACTAAATGCAATTAATTGTAATCTAAGTTACTATGTTTTTGGATTTTTTTCTAAGATAGTGGTAATGTAGTGGAAGTTAATGATATGTAATCTCTTGAACATGGCTTTGAAGCAATCATAGTTCAAAATAATTTTGGGAGTAAAAATACCAAGTTTTCTAAATGGAAAACCTTAAAGAACTCTTTAAGTCTAGGATCTTAATCAATGGCACCCATCTCATAAGATCCTATTAAGCTCACTTAGTGTGTGTATTAAGATTAATTAATGCAAGCCTAGATTAACTCAACAATCAAACAATATGATTTAGCCCAATTATTCTATGTTATTTCATATCATTTTAAGGGTATTTATCATAGATTTTGGCTCCTTTTGATGATAATTGTGCTTAATTTAGTTTAAGAGTCCTTGCTTTGAGTTAGTGTCTTTTTGAGGTTAAAATTGTCATAATTGGTTATTAATTGTATTCAGTTGATTTCTAGGACAATTGATGCTTCAAATTGTTGCTTTTTATTGTAGGACAATTGAGAATTGGAGCCAAGATCAAAGACCAAAGGATGACACAACACAAGATCAGAGTATCAGCACCAATAGAGTTTGCTGCGGCGCCAAATTGAAATCTCACCAGTAAGATGGGAGAAATGGAAATGGGATTAGGGTTTCTGAGGTGGAGATGAGAGAAGAGGATGAAAGAGACATAGATGGAGGCTGAATAGTGATAATCTGATCTCATCATACCCAAAATAGGGTTTCTAACCTGAAACTTACGTGCATGGGTCGATTCTTGGGGTTGGGTAAGTCAAAATTTCCCGAAATGGTTGGGTCTGAGATTTACTGATTCGAGAGGTTCGCCGCGGCGAAGAATAGGTTCGCCGCGCGAAACATGGCAGAGAGCCTTGCTTCAACAGATGAGTTTCGCCGCGGCGAATGAAGACGTTTGCCGCGACGAACTTAGGCAGAGGGTCCTTTCCTGCTTCTTTTGCCTTGAGTTCTCCAATTCTGGCCCCAATCTTTAGTGTCCTACAATAAGAAAGCAACAAATTGAAGTATCAATTGTCCTAGAAATCAATTGAATCCAATTAACAACCAATTATGACAATTTAATCCTCAAAATGACACTAACTTAAAGTAAGGACTCTAAATCTAAATTAAGCACAATTATCATTAAAAAGGGCCAGAAAGTATCACAAAATCATGGATAAAGTAATGAAAAGATAATAATATCTTGAGCTCAATCACTCGGTCTATTACAACCTTGGGAACTATTGCACTCTACAGTAAGCCTCTTTAGGATCCACAGTGACCCTGGAATATTATCATCAATCTAAGCCATATTAAGATCTTTGGGAGACTCTGACCTTAGGGTTGAGTAATAAAATAAGTCATCTCCACTTAGTTGATAACTTGACTGATCATTCCCCAAGACTATTCCAATAACCAATATCATTCTCTTGGGCCTCATTCAATTGTCCAGGCCACCTATTTGCTTCTTTAGGTGCCTAAGCCAATCTACCTTAGGAGTTCTCTTACTCCTCTAGCTACTCTCACCATCTCTAACTACTTTAGAATGGTACGAGGGAGGACTTATGCAGCTTCTCTTTCCTTTAATTCACTTTTCAGTATCAACATACTCTAATATATATGATGCCTGGCATTACAATGCAAGGAGTGCAAGCTCTTACTGGTTGCTATGTCTGTAGGATGCCAATTAAACATCTTATCCCTATAAGAGAGAGCCTCTCTTTCTGTTCACAATTGATTCTAGAAGTCATAGGGAGAAGACTTAGCTAAAGGACATTTAACCTTAGCTTTGTTCTTGGCTAGTCATGCTTCTATTAGGGTAAAGTCAACTCCGCTTGCTTAGCCTCGGCTACTCCCTTTTCCGGCTCAGACATGGTATCTTGCTCCATTTAGAGCAGTGTCAATTCTAACTCAAAGGACTAATCTCCCAATTTCTCTAGGAAGACTCATGGCTAAGACCATATTCCCTGTGAAGGGTTCCTCTCAACCCCAAGTGACTGAGTATCTCTTAACATTATCGAGAACATGCCAACCTTATAATGCTAGTTCCTCGCATAGCTATCTGTCTCTTTCTCTTCTTGATCCCCAATAATTCTACTGGGGCTATCCATCTTGGTTTACTATCTCTAAGTTCCTCTTTATCTATTCAGGGACTTGAGATAGCTACTCTATCATGACGCCCCAGCCCTAACAAGGTTGTAAGAGTTTGTCCAGCTTAGGTGGCCACTACACCCTTTTAGTGGTGTACGGACTCAACCCCTAACTATCTTGTTCAACTCCTTATCATTACTTTTCCTCTTGAGGGGGAGTCTGATAGCTCTTAATAGTGGCTACATATCTCTTTTTGATCTTTACTAGTATTAGTCTCAGCGACCTCATAGGCTATCGAGTCTTACCTAGATACCACCTCAGTATCTGAGAGTCACTATCTCTATTCATCACAACCAGAATCTTTTTTCATCATGATGAAAGTCACTACTTGCTTTGGTAATCACTTATGTATTCATTCATCACCACAATTCCCTTGGTTCATCATGACGAAACATACTTTCTCTTAACTTCTGCTAGTCTTACCTAGCTTTGTTCATCGTAGTATTGCCTGCTACCTGAAGGACTTCCATGTCCCTAGCCTCACTGTGATCCCCAACTAAGTTAGCTACTTTCTTTCAGCTAATTTAGGAAGGGTCTAGCTCACATCTCTAGGCCATTAGCACTTTTGGTTTCCCCTATTCTCAGGGATCACTGGTAACCGGAACGCTATCTTTAGCTCTTTTCACTACCAGAAAAAAGGCTTTTCACGGTGTAACATCTAGACTTTTAGGCCTAGAAGTTTCAAAAATAGCCTAAATTAAATAGGTTACCAGAGCCCTGTGAGCAGAAGTCCCAAAGATGAGAAAGGAAGTTAAAGCAGTTTCAGGGACTAAACTGCAAAGTAAAAGTTTTCAGGGGCTCGAGTATAATTAAGGTTAGAGGCTCCAATAAAGTCTCGAAGGCCCAAAAAGAGAAAAGAGGCTAGATACAGGCCAATGGGTAAGTTAGAAACCTCAAAGAGATAGTTCTATGAGATTAGGCTTAAGCAGGGGTAAAACCGTAAATTCAAAAAGTTATGACCAGCAAGGGTAAAAATGGAAGCGTGTACAGAAAATTCCAAGAAAATCCCAAAAAAATGGGAAATAATATTCTAAGACTCTTCTATGAAGAGAAAAGATGAAAATACCCCTGAGGCAGCTTAAA